TACTCTCGAAATGTGCAAAACGAGAATGAATCTTCCGGTAGAATATGGAAAGATGCACGGCCATGATTTTTGTCTTTTTTGTGCATGTCGAGACTAGTGCAGCTAGCCCCCTCCTTTGAGAGGACCGACACGTGCGCGGGCCGAGTCCCACATGCTTAAGGCTGGTTCTTCATTTCTGGCCGTTGATCTTCGGAATCTACGCTCAGAAGTTGGGAATTCGGGTACTAAGCGGGACTTGGGTCCGGGGGGCGGGAGGCCGGGCGGGGGGGGAGGAGGGGGTAGGAGGTAACTGGGGGAAGGAGGTAGTCGCGTATGCTGCTCTCGAGTGCAACAACAACAACAACAAGGCACATTCGGCACGGAGGTGGCCAGGCTGGCTGGCTTATATTTTTCTTGCAGTTGTGCGTGTTCCTCTGCCTTGTTCTTCGTGCTTGCGTGAAGTTTCATCGTTCTTCAGGACGCCTTCAAGCTGAAATTCCCCCCTTCGCTCTTTCAATACTGTATGCGTGCGCGCTTGTTCGTTCGGTGAACTGCACTAATTAGTTGATTGCTTGATTGATCGATCGGTTGGTTGGGCCCTGATTACTTGGAAACCCTCCACTTGCCGTGATACAGCTCCAGCTGCAGACTCAAGGGAGAGTGGTGGACGCGGGGACGGCTGCGCATCCCCGAGACCTGCGTCGCCTTATCTTCTGTGGGCTCCATTGCCACCGATACCCGTCAGCGATTCGTTGAGAGCGATCTGAGAAGGAGGAGCTGGTTTGTGTGTGTCTGTTCGTTTGTGTGTGTGTGTGTGTGTGTGTGTGTGTGTGTGTGTGTGTGTGTGAGAGAGAGAGAGAGAGAGAGAGAGAGAGAGAGAGAGAGAAGGCTGTACGTAGGTAATTAATTTACGTGGAAGTGAGCCAAGGGGAGAAGAAGGAATAAGCGGAAAGCAATCATGCTGTACCGCGTGGCATCGCCGAACCAGTACCTGGTTCGGACGGGATGGGGCATCAAGGATGTCCGCGTGACCAAGAAAGGCTGGGTATGGCCGGGGCAGCGGGGTGTGTTCTTCGACATGACGCCGGCGAATTACACGCTGAGCTTGCAGGTAGGAGCCCTTCCTTTGCACTACTACCTTCTTGTTCCTTCTTTTTTTCCTTCCTTCCTTCCTTCCTTCTTTTAATTATTCCCTCTCGCTCCTTCTCATTTGCATCGTCAACATGGCCCTCTCTCTTTGCCCGCATATCTCTCCGCTTTGCGTCACACCTGTTCCTCTCTGCTGAGCAACTCGCAATCCTTTCCCGTCCCTCTTCCTTCCTCATCCCTTCTCCTTCCTTAACCTCACGCTGTTTAACACTCTACCCTCTGTGTGTGTGTGTGTGTGTGTGTGTGTG